GATGAAGCTTGGACAACATAATATTTTAACTTATCACAATAACAATCAGTATCTTCTATTAGAATATATCTACAATTTCTTCATTGATAAAACGATCGTTTTTCAGCAACCAATCAGCGGTGGGTCTAAGTTTAGGTTGCCGTTGGAAAGTCCTTTCTAGGAATGTTTGTAAACAAATCGAGGCAGTGTGCGGGAGCTGAAACCTCGGGGGATCTCCTTTGACTGATCTGAAGGCGATCTGTGCTGGAATTAGTGAGGAGTTGGGGGGTTTCCCGGTTAACATTTCCACAACAGTGCAGCCCACGCTCCTAGATGTGAGGGGGGAAATTAGAATTTGGTTAAAGTAAGCTTTAAAAAGTCTTATAAAAACGAGCAAAAAACAACAACAAAAAACAACAAAACAAAACTATATGCTAATTTAAAAAAAATTAAACATCAAAGTGGAATTCTTAAAAAGCAATGTATGAAATCAATATAATTCATGATTATGTTTTATGGGACAACGTGAACTTGGTGGTAGAGCGCGAAATTCTAGAATTTGAATCCGGTTCAAAGTCAGTTGAAAGTCTCCGAGTCCACCTAGCTCTGATGGGTACCTAACTTATATTAGGGAAAATAAAGTCGGCTGGGCAAAGTGTTCTCTTCATATTCCGAGGTCAAGAAACATAAACTTTACTTCATCTGCCCATTGGATAGCTACGCTTAAAGAGAATTCTTTACTTTATGTTTCAGCAATTATTTGTTTTTCTCAAGATGCATTGGGTCGTAAACTACTAGAACTATATAAGAAAGCGACCAGAATAGTAAATGGAATGAAACACGAGGCTTAAAATTTACGTTGAATGCGGATGACATGTTCAATGAAAAAAAATCTTGGGATAAACTGAAATGTATAATAAACCAGTGTTTCTTCCAGATTATTTTCTCGAGGGGGGGGGGGGGGGGCGGAGCTTACCCGAAGAGATGCATGGAAGAAACTCTGTAATAAACTTTAAAAAAAAGAAAGTCAGTGCTAGATCTACTTTAACCTTATTTACAGGAGCAGATTTTCTTTTCTACCATCATGGAAGGAGCTAAGCCTGTGTGGCAAATAAGCAATATTAAAATAGTGCCCCTTGATATATAAGACATATGCAGTGCTATGTGAACATCTCCGTTCGACAATCAGATTATATCTGAACAAATGCCGGTAGAATCGAGTAAAATAATGCTCTTACTTACTTTCAAGCAGTGTATAAACCTATCTATGTAATTGTCATTTAACAATGCCCAACCTAACAACAATGTACAAAATCTATTGGCTGTACACGTATTCAGAGACGTAGCGACCCAATCCGTTGTCCGGACTGAACTATCAATTTTGTCCCATATCCCCCCCACCCCCACTTTTATATATTATTAACGTTAGTGAAAGTGAGCTTAAGTTTTGGTATCACATAACTGATGTAGAAAACAGTTTAAAGTCCACAAAGCCAAGTAGCAGTTGTTGTTTTTTAAAACCGACGGTGTATAACTCAGTAATGCCATCCCCTTAGATAAGCCTCTTTACTTATTTACATTTCTAGCATATGTAACAAACATGCTGTCATACCATATATCAGCTCTGCTGGTGTAGTATATAATCTTGCCTTCTTTTGTGTACATCACTTCTGGAGCCATATAACGCACTGTTCCTTTCTCTGTTGCTACTCCATTACCGTCAATAATTTCAGAGATCCCAAAATCTGTCAACTTGATGTTTTTCTCATCTTCCATTAAAATATTGTTAGCTAAAGTTATGAGGAAAAAAAATCATATCGGTAAAAATTGAACATGTAATTATTTTAAAATAATGATACAAATATTGTGAATTAAAATGGCTATATATAGAAGCTACCTTTAATATCCCTGTGTAAGATGCTGTTTTGATGCAAGTAATCCACACCCTCCAGGATTTGAATCGTAAATTGTCGCGTCGTTTTCTCATTAAGGTTACCACTTAAAGAGATATAAGATTCGAGGGTGCCCTGATAAAATTCATGCAAGCATTATTTCAAACTTTTTTTTTACCAACAGCTGGGTTCGTGGCTAAAATATATGTCACATTTTGTTTATATTTGTTAAATTTGACTTATCCATAATTTAGAAGTGTTTTTTTAACATATGCCTTGGGAGTAGGCTATTGAGAAGGGGAAGGCTTAGGACACGATAGAGGGACAAGAGCTTGACCTTAAGGAAATTGTTCAAATAAATAACTTGATGTCTTGTTTAAAGTAAAAACAATGGTTAATCTACTAGAAATACCGCAACCAACTAAAATAGTTTTATTTTACTGCATTATTTTTTCCTTTATTCCCCATACACAACCTTATAACCTCGTTACAGATAATTTTATTACATGTTTGAGATACTCCATGAAAATGAAGAATTCATCTTTCTTCCTTTGAAATCCGTGAAATTGAACAATCCGCCTGTGTTTTGTCTTGAGAAGAATCCTCGCCTCATGTTTACATACTTCCTGAACGGGGAAATTTTACATGACATGACATGACATGACATGACATGACATGACATGACATGACATGACATGACATGACATGACATGACATGACATGACATGACATGACATGACATGACATGACATGACATGACATGACATGACATGACATGACATGACATGACATGACATGACATGACATGACATGACATTACATTACATTACATTACATTACATTACATTACATTACATTACATTACATTACATATATATATATAAATATATATATATATATATAAATAAATAAATATATATATATATATATATATATATATATATATATATATATATATATATATATATATATATATATATATATATATATATATATATATATATATATATATATATACTGTATATTCCAGAAATGCACTTAAAACCGCGGAGTTCAGATTTAATCTGTATTCATAATAATCATACAAATCTGCCAGAAACATGGCTACATAACTTACCACATCTGTTTCATTGTGAAAGTAAAGTCTCTTCGCAACAAATGTCTTGTCCTCAGGATTATTTTTATCTGTGACAAGATGGACACTGCCGAACGCGCCTTGTCCTAAAGTATCTGTCTCGATCGTAAATTCTTTTGGGAAATCATCAGATAAAACTTTGTCTATTTTTGGATGAAAATTGTCAGCTGAATTAAAATGGTGTTTTGCTTTTAAGCATAAATAACTGCAAAGTTGAATACAATGATATGATATATAATTTTGTTATAGAATATTAGTATATATAGTTACATAATATATTTATATTATTAAAAATGTAGTAAACAAATAAAAAAAACTGTAATTAGGATTTGTAATATTTATATTATTAAAAATGTAGAAAACAAATTAAAAACCTATAATTAGGATTAATATAAAGCTACGACCTGATTGTGACGGTAATATTCCAGTTGTTCGTCCCGACCTCCAAAATATGGAATTGACATTTCCTGTAATGTCGATGTTTTCACTTTTATTCAGCGTAGTTAAACGATCTGTGAAATCTGGACTGGTTATAATGTTTTTGCTAGCCTTTACATTTTGACTCATTTCCTTCAGACACTCTGTTGTGTATTCCAGTTCTTCTAGATCCTCTTCACCAAGGAAATCCTTCAACGTGTCAAGTAAAGGAAGAATCTGTAGATTCAAATATCAAATGTTGAAATAATTCAAAATTATATCTTTAATAATAATAAGGCTTTTAAGATGATTTCATTTTCTTATGATTTTAATTTTCAGAAATTTTGAAATAATGCATTTAACTTCGTAACTTTCCAGCCTTAAAGTAAACGTTATTTTAATTGTATATTGTGTGACTTTATATTGACATTTTATAAAAACGTTTATTAAGAGCAGCATATGTTTATGAAATACATGAGACATATGCACAGAAAATTCTCAGTTATCTAAAACGATTAATAAAACTAGAATCCAAATAAAATTCATAAAAACAAAATGGTTAAAATAGCAATTATTACAAACTAAACATTTTGTTAACCATGTGCACTACAAAAGGCTTATAAACATACAGACATACCTATAATGTAAGCATATGTAAGTATATATATATATATATATATATATATATATATATATATATATATATATGTATATATATATATATATATATGTTAGTTTGTGTGTGCAGTCATCGAAAAATTCATCTTTTTTAGGATGAATTAGTTAATATAATATTAGTAATAAATAAAAGCAGCCACTATTAAAAGTGAATTGAAATGGAGATTAAAGTTGTACTCTCTTGAACTGTGAAGATTTGTTGAGGTGTTGTAATTCAACCATTGTGTTTGTCCACTGTAAATTTAAATTTAAAAAAAGATATTCCTCCAAAGATAATTTATGATGGAAGAACTTAAAAAAAAAACAATCGAATGTACTCCAAGGTAACTAAAATTCACAAATGTATTCTACGTAGTGAAAAAGTAAGAACCTCTTCACAGGCCGGTGGGTGTTTCGCGAATTTCGCAAGTCCTTGAAGCAATTCAGAAAGATGTACACCGTTGTGCATTTTGTCAGTAGCTTCTGATGCTTCTTTGATGTATCGCATTACACCATGAATCTCCTCTAAAAAATCATAAATACAAAATGATATCGCATTCATTAAAATAATAAACACTGGAACGTTATAAATTATATATATATATATATATATATATATATATATATATATATATATATATATATATATATATATATATATATATATATATGTGTGTGTGTGTCTGTGTGTGTGTATATATATAATTACTATTGCTGATAAATATTTTTATTTATGGCAATGAGGTAAAAATGTTTCACACCACTTGTTGTAATTATGATATCAGCATCATCTACAATCACCGAAAGCAACATCTTCGCAATAAGTGAAGTAACAGCATCTTGAAATCTTATTTCCATCAGAGTCTGCGTAGATAATAAAGAATAGTGTCCCGTTTCATTAATTAAAATATTTTATTTTAATAAAAAGTTGTGTTTTAAAAAACACATTGAACATATCTGGTGGAAATTTCATCACTTGTAATACACTTTGTTCCAGAATTAGTAGTTTTGTACAAGCTTTTATTTGACTTGAATCTAATGACTGTTTTTTTGTACTCGCTTAGTCATTTCATGGGTGGAATCTGCTAAATAAATTTCAACCCATCCTAACGAACCGATTTTTTTCAAATTTGACAGAAATAAAACAACTTGAAAAGTTTCCATTCTGGCATTTGTTGAATTCGGATATGTGTCTTTTGGGAAAACGTCCGGCTCCCGTCATAAGGATTATTTTAGGGATGGGGACAGGGATAGTGTTACGATTTTGTTTATGGTTGTTTTTTGCTTAGGGTTAGGGCTATACACATTTTCTCTAACGTCCATATTTGGATATAGACGTTTAATTTACATTTTTATATTATCTCCAAAATCTTAAAAATAAAAAACTTAAAATAGTATAATTAAAAAAATACTAATTATAAATATCATAAAAATATTTATTATAACTTTAACGTGAGAATAAAGTTCGTATGAACTTAAAGTTGTAGGTGTGATTTTTAAAGTAATGATTTTTTAAAACATACGTAATAAATTTGAAGATTACACAAGTTCATTTTGAATACAAACTTTTTTGCAACACTTACATTTTTTATTCTTCTGAGACACAATAATATCTTTGCTTGTTTCCTTCGGGCAATGTTGTGTAAAATTATTATAATTCTGTAAGTAACAAACTGGGACTGCGAACTCTGTAAAGCATTTGCCAATTTGTAATTATATAAAGATGTAAAACATTCATATTGCTTTTTCATTGCTATTTTTTTTCAAGAGGATTGTAACTTTCTCTTCTAGGCAAGACATTTTGTAAGCAATTTCTATTTTATAATGTTCGTTTTTGAAACAAAAATCAAGCCCTTTAAATATTTGTAAAATTTAAAAATGTTATATTTTCGAAAAATACTAAATATCTATGAAAACAATTTAATTATTTATCGAACATTTAATTAATGAATAAACCTGACTTGCTCAACTTATTTTCGAAATATTAGATTATTATCCATTTATTTTATACCTGCATGTTGGTTCTCACCTGCGTCTCGTTATTTAATATGATATGCTCACTAAAAATCTCCACGGTGCTATTTTTAGCCAAACACTGAAAATAAAAAGGCAGAGCTTAATATCTCGTTAGTGAATATAAAATAGATACTGTTACTTGTATTGAACACTGAATAATATACATATTTTATGTATGTTTTTAAAGCAATGAATGAATGTGAAATTATTAAATATATAGACTTGAGAGTATGATTATTGTGGTTTTACGCATCATTGAAATAACTGTGAGCTTTTTGTTTTAATTATACATAAGTAAATCTTTACATAATTACCAAAGCAAAATCTGAGCTGTTGTCACTGCCTCTGGACAAAATATCCAGCGTGTCAAGAATTAAAGATAGCGAAAAACTAGCTGCGTTTGTATCCAGTAGATTTTCTTTTTTCAACTGTGTTATTGTCAATTCTATTATTCCCACAGCAAAAATGTACAGAAGCGTGTTAGAATAAAAAACATTGTTGTACAATATTAATTTAACATATAGGCCTACATATCACGTCAAATCAAGAACGTATGCAAATACTGTGCATTTAATCATAAATTCAATTAAATAACAATTTTTCTACTTATACATGAATATATATATATATATATATATATATATATATATATATATATATTTATATTTATATATATATATATATATATATATATATATATATATATATATATATATATATATAGGCCTATATATAAAATTAAATTATTTAATCAGAAAATATGTCTATAAATTAATATTGTACGTGTACCCTCACGATATTTATATATGTATGTATAAGCATATGCACATGCACGTAATCGTGAGGGTACACGTACAATATTAATTTATAGACATATTTTCTTATTAAATAATTTAACTTTTTATCTATCTTTGTAAACAAGTTTTTACCTGGATAATTAAACTGAAGGAGTAGAAAAAAAAACTTTGTCGCATATTCTTTAAAATTATCTTCATACTTTTCGCTGATCGCCCAGTACAGTTTGCTTAATGATTTTTGACAAAAGAAAAACTGAAAAGCGTCAAGCTTTTGCATTCTAGAAAACTCTGCCATGACATAGGAAACATTTTCCAACAGCTCAGCAAAGTTTAAAATCTAAAAGAGATTTTTTAAAAAATGTGTCAATCTAACAACTGAAACATTTATAGCTACATGTATGTGATGATATATTGTTCCCTAAATAAAGAGAAATATGTTCGTTTAAAATCATAAATGTTAAAACATAAATGTAGTAATTTTAATACTGACCGTTTCATCACGAATCTTGAAAACAATATTGGCATAACAGTAGATAGACCTAGATAATAAATAATTAAAATGTATTTTTAACACACGCACTTTTTCTTTCTTCCTATTCTTTTTTATATTCCTATTCAAAACGCTAACCTAAACCGCAAACCCCAAACCCAACCGCTAATACAACCATAGCCACAGCCTCAGCCTGAGCCTGAGCCTGAGCCTGAACCTGAACCTGAACATTAAAATTGACATTGAGAATGAGATTGAGATTGAGATTGAGATTGAGATTGAGATTGAGATTGAGATTGAGATTGAGATTGAGATTGAGATTGAGATTGACATTGACATTGACATTGACATTGACATTGACATTGGCATTGACATTGGCATTGACATTGACATTGACATTGACATTGACATTGACATTGGCATTGGCATTGACATTGACATTGACATTGACATTAGCAGCAACAGCAACATGTGATTACCTTTTCCATTGCTCCAGAATCAAATTCGAATTTTCAGTTTGGAAATCGCAGGCTGATATAGAGCTTTTATCCTTGATTCCAAAATTTCTCAGAGCTTATGTTTAAATAATAAACAAACAGGTAAAAAAATAAGCCTGTTAATATTGCCTCATCTTGGTCACAAAGTCAAATAGCAATTCTTCAATTAAAAATTTTATGATTAAAGAATTACAAAATCAATAATATAATAATATTAGAACGTATGATGAATAGCATTAAACAATTAATAAAATAAGTAATAGTCTCTATAATAGTAAAGGATATTTCAGTAAATGAATGTATATGTAACGCTATTTATATCTTATAATTATTCATGTGGACAAAAATAATGACACGAAATTTAAAATAACAATCAATTTCTTGAACGTCTATCAAAATTAGCATTAAACGTGTAGAATAAACTTACCAGTTTTACAGAAAGAGCAAACAAAATTGACCTGACTTGTCAAACTTGATTTACCATTATATGATTCAATAACCACCAAAATTGTGTTGATAATTATGGTGTGACTTTCTTCAAATGCTAGGCATATTAAATTTAGTAAATATTGTATAAATGATGACTTTAAATCTTCTACATAATCATCACGACCAATTTGAGGTGTATTATCTAATTCATTCCCTCCGGTTGCTTTTAACCAATGGAAATCGGCTTTTTTTCTAAGTAACAAATCTACGATTTTATCATGACCATTTTTAGATGCAAGCATTAATGCATCCAATCCATCTGTTTCAACACGGTTTACATCTGATCCACATTTTAGAAGTAATTTTGCTATTTTCTCATGTCCCTTTTCACATGCAAGCATAAATGCGTCACTTCCATTTGAATCATTACGATTAATATCTGCTCCACATTTTATGAGTAACTTTACAATTTTGTAATGTCCATTTTCAGATGCAAGCATCAGTGGATCGCATCCTTTTGGATCAATACGATTAACATCTGATCCACATTTTATAAGTAACTTTACTATTTCTAAATGTCCATTTTCAGATGCAAGAATTAATGCATCGATTCCATTTGAATCTGTGCGATTAGCATCTGATCCACATTTAATAAGTAACTTTACTATTTCTAAATGTCCATTTTCAGATGCAAGCATTAATGCATTCCATCCATTCAAATCGAAACGATTAATATCTGATCCACATTTCACAAGCAAATCTACTATTTCATAATATCCTTGTTTTGATGCTAGCATTAACGCATCGTATCCGTCGGTTTCAACACGATTGATGTCTGCGCCATGTTGTATTAATAATTCTACTATTTTGAAGTGACCATGATGAGATGCAATCATTAATGCATCAGTTCGATCTGTGTCAACAATATTAAGATCTGCTCCACTTCTTATAAGTAAATTCACCGTTTTTTCATGTCCATTTTGAGATGCCAGCATTAAAGCACTGCACCCATTTTTTTCAAAATGATTAATCTCTGCTTCACTTTGTATAAGAAATTCTACTATTTTATCATGACCATTTTGTGATGCATACATTAATGCATTCATTTCGTTTGCTTCAAAGTGATTAATATCTGCTCCACATTTTATAAGTAGCTTTGCAATAGATTCATGTCCATTACAAGAAGCAGAGATTAATGCATTGATCCCTTTTTTCCCGACATGATTAATTTCGGCTTTACAGTTAACTAGTAATTTTACTGTTTTATAATGGCCATTTTGTGACGCAACCATTAATGCGTTAATTCCGTTTGTATCCCAATTGTTAACATCTGTCCCACATTCTATTAGTATTTTTACAGTTTTATCATGGCCCTTTTTAGATGCTATCATTAAAGCATTTCTTCCATTTTTTTCAATTCGACCGTTAATTTCTGCTCCATTTTTTATAAGTAATTCTACTATTTCATGATGACCATTTAGCGATGCAGTAATTAATGCATTCATTCCATTATTTCCAAAACAATTAATATCTACTCCACTATCTATTAGGAGCTGTACTGTTTTGTATTGTCCATTACAAGCTGCACTTGTTAAAACATCCGTTTCTTCTGATCCGCTTTTTACAAGTAATTCGGGTGTGTTGCCATCTCCATTTTCAGATGTAATCTTTGGTGTATTGTTCGGATTCATTTCCCACTATTTCTGTCAAGTCTTTTTTTACGTACACCAATAAGAAACCAAATGCTTGTAATTGTTGCAATTATTTATAGATTCAGTATTCTCGATTGAAACTAATAATATCTGTAAAAATATGTACGTAATTTTCGGTTATCTATTAATTAATTACTGCATCTATTCATCCTTAATTTACAGCCGAAATTCAGCGAATTCGTTTAATATAGCAAGCTGAATATACGTATTTATTTTTTAAATTATAAACTACAGTGAATAATATTATGTGATACGTTACTACTGTTTAATTTAAATGTATCTAATTTTCTCTGATAATTAATTGTATTTTATTACATTAAATCAACTTAACGGAAAAAAAGTTATAGAAAAATACTACGATAAGAAACTATGCCTAATTGCAAATCTTTAGAATATGCTTTACACTATTCCAAATATAGTATTTTAAATGCATCTTTTTCACATCCTGTGTTTCCGTTAAATGTGCTTTATGGAGTTTCCTCTGATCAAGTAAAATATGTAAGGTTTGAATTGTCGAAATGTCTTATTTCTGAAAAGTAAAAAAAATAAACTGGTAAATTACAGTATGTGGTTTCACCCATTGGAAATACATGCACGTTTGTGTGTTAAGTTCTTCAAAGTCGATTTATGATACGAACTATAGGGTGTTGAAGTGGAGTCCAAATGGAGTCCTGCCGGTTGGCGTTTTTTTAAACCAAATCTGAATATTTTTATTAAATCTTTTTTTTAAGTTAGGAAAGCTACTTTCGCTTTTGGCTTCAAAATAAACTCAAGTTTTAGAATCAGAATTTCATGAATTTAGATCTAGAAATAGATCTAGATAGATATAGAATCTAGGATCCAGATTCTAAATCTAGAGATAAATAATTGACTTTGCAGATTTTAATATAGAATCTAGATTCTAGATCTAGAATTTTATTTAGAATACAACCGACTCGTTAGATTTAGTTTTAGAGTTTTAGAGGTAGGGACCGTAGTCTAAAGATTTTAGACTCAATTTTAGAGAAGAGTAAAGTCAGTAAAGAACTAAAGATTCTTTACTAAAGAAGAAGTCGTGACGTAAAGTCAAGTGACCAAGTCTAAAGAATTAAAGAACTTTAGTAATTAGATTCTACTTTAGTTTACTAACTTAGTACTAAGTACTAGGCCTAATTATAATTAATATTAATAATACGTCATACAGTATATAGTATATATTACTATAACATTACAGATCTACTAACATTTTGTAAAACAGAAACCTTTGGCCTTTAGACTTAACTTTTGAATTTAGACCCATAAGTTTTTCTTTAGACTTTCTTTTGCTTAGAAAGTTTAGGCGTAATTAGGCCGATTTAGTAATAAAGACTTTGCCTTTTTCATTTTAATAAATAGGCCCATATTTTAAATCAATGCCATATTTTTAAAAAATAATTCCTTTTCCTAGTACTTTTTCTTTTAGTACTAGATCTAGAAGTAGATAAACTAGATATTACACAGTGACAGTAGGCTAGACCTAATAACTGTAATAACTAATTAGTCGTCTGCTTAGTAGTTAGTCCTCGTAGAGATAGTTATAGTTATATATATAGACAAGTTATAGTGTACCAGTATTACTAGATAAAATTCTATATCTAGTAGTAGCTCTAGAAATTCCAAATTTGATTTAAGCCCAAAGTGGGCCTAAAAATTGGATTAATCTAATTATTACTATTATTAGGGCCTAATTAGTTTAATTGTAATAAGCCTTGTTTGGCTTTGTGTTACTGTCATTGAGCTTTTAATTTAACATTGAAAATTTAATTCCAAGATTTAAAAAAAAATCAGCAACTTTAATTAATCTATATAGCTAGATTCTAGATATTCATACTATTGTACAATGCCTACTTAGTAGATATTAAATATGCTATAATTACAGTATTCTGACTATATCACTCAGAATAAACATATATGACTAAATAGGCATAATGACTACTAATGTATATTACATTGTTTTAGAATAATTTCTTTTGCATTACAGTAAGCATGTATTTTTAGTGTCTGTGTACACTATTTAATATTTATTTTTACTGTTAATGAAAATATTATTTCACAGATGAAGCATGTTCCACTTGTAATAATAAAAAAATAATGTCTTGTTTTTTTTACTTAGACTAATAAAACAGTTGTGTGGTTTACACTTAAAGTCAGTATCTCAAGCCAGTTACCCTTAATGTACTCAAGCCCTCAAACCACTTCTCTGGATTAGCAATTGTGTGCTCTACTGCTTGACCAATGTATCCCAATTTAGTATTTGTAGGTCATTGTAAAAATATATATTAATATATCCTAAATAAATCTTTTATCAAGTGTTAAGATTTATGTTATTTGTATTGAGTGTTGTTTTAATACGTTCTTTGTGTGTGTGTGTGGGTTCAAATATTTTTAAAACTGTTTAGGAAACTAAATAGTATTTTACTTGCAAATTTTGTTTTAAGCAACTCACACTGGCATTAGACTGCTAACCCAGTAGTCAGTAGAAAGTCCCTGAGTGCACCCAGCAGTGATGGGTGCCTAACTCACGTAAGTGAAAGTAAATGTGGATGGGCATATGGCTGACCAAATCATCCTTCCTATGCCAAGGTCACAAAAGTAGGTGACTCTATGTTGTCAGATCAATGGATCAACAGGTTTGAGACTGGAGCTTTACTACCGTACAACTCTCACTATTTTTTACAATATTTTCATAAACTAACATTACAAATACAATAAAAAAATAGAAATTCAACATAAAATGAATGAGAAAAATTCAATATTTAGTAAATAAATTTATCATTTATTTAATATTTAAAGGTAAAGGTATTTGATTTATTACTTTCCAGTAATTGCAGGGGATTTTTTTTTTCTTGCATCAAATATTGTTCTTCATAAATTGCAGTCTTAGATGAAATCTTCATTATAACACACATTTTGATTTCATGTTTTGTTGATAGTCTTGGTTGAGGTTTCCTGGAACTTTTGTAGGGTTCTTTCTAGAGGTCTATATGCACTGATTTAATTCAGGTAATCTGAAACATAGATGTACACACAATATTTCTACTCAAAATTTTCTCTTATAATTATAGTTTACATTTTTATACGTAATCAACATTTTAAATAAAATTGAAACTAAAACTAGCCATTAAATCTATAACTACTTTAGGTCAATATATATTGAAAATTAGGCCTAGATTCTATTACTAAATCTAAACTCTAGATCTAATAACCAGGGTACAAGGCCTATTAAGTGGATATAGATACATTTTGCTATATTCCATATTAGATCTAGATTGTGGGCTAGAGTAATAAGTGTATGTTACAATATTTACTGACACGAAGTCCTAGACAAATTTCTAAATTACTGTGTAGACTGTTACTAGATTCTACAACTCACACTAGTAATGCTACAGTCACTCTCATTACACTAGTGAACTCTACAGTCTACATTTACAACTCTACACACCTTTTAGGCCTTGCCTTAGCTTATACCCCACTAGACTAGACAGACTGAGATAGGTAGTACTAGAGTAACTAGATAGATTAGATAACTTACAACTAGCTCTCTACTCTACAAACACACACTAGAATCTAAAATCTAGATCTAGATTCTAGTCTAGAATTAGTAGAAAGAATTCAATCTAGATCTAGTAGATTCTAAATCTAATCACTGTACTGTCACTTTTTATTTAGATGGATCAGTATAGTTAATACAGTAGTAAAATAGATATAGGCCTACAGATATTATATATTTAGGATCAGATAGATTTAGATTTTAGGTCTATTTTTTGTAATATTCTGTCATCGAACTAGACGGTCTAGATAAGTGTTTACTGTTTACCAAATCGTTCAGTAGGAGTAATGTCCCCTGGGGCTAGGTTTGCTAGGTCTTACATTTAACTTTAAAAAATAATTTATTTACTTACCGCCACAAAACTTTTCTGTCAGAATTGAATGCAAATACATTACTTCCCAACCGTACGTACACAATAGACTTGAAATTTTGTATATTTGTTGCATATTGGGAGTTCATGATGAGTTTAAAATGTTGAAGCGAAGTCAAGAAATAAGCAGCCGCCATGTTTTTTTATCAATGGGAATCATGATCACAAAAATTCATTTAGTTTGGAAAATTTAATCTCTCCCTGGCGGAAGTTTTTCCAAAACTTGGAATGGATTAATGAATTAATATTATTAATTATTTCAAAAATTATTTTCAATAGTTTATCTTAAATCAAAAAATTCAAAACACATAAAAATCGATACTTAATATTTTGTTTTAATTTTTGATAGCTAAAACATAATTTTAGCGCTTGCCAATCAATTTATATAATTTTTGGAAAATAGCATGTTATATAGCAAAGTATTATTGTAACACCCTATTAGTGTGGTTTCTTCATTTTTATTTCATTTAGAAGCCGTTCCGGCCAGGCACCGCCATGACCATTCTAGATTAACTTAACTTCTACTTAAATTCATTGATTATATTAGGGTTCATCAATGATACTATACATTCGCAAATGCTTCTATCATTTTACTTATAATTCTTACAAACTTCCCATAAGTATATCCATATGATTTTTGTATTAAGATGAAATTCAACGTACATTTTGGTAAATCAATTTATCGTGGATTATGTGGCAAATAAATAAATATTACTACAGAAAAAAGCAGTTATTTAAGGTAGCCTACACGTTAAATGTAATGAACATATATGTTTATCTTTAAACAGATCTACGTCCCAATACACTTAGTCGGTTGATTTTCTAATTAAAGAACAAAACAAAATGGTAGAGCATCAAGTTTAATCAAACTTAGCTACGCCCTCAATTAAACAAAAAACAATACATATAAATTTATAATATTTGCATAGTACTTATGAGTAAATTTTAAATAGATACCACCCTTTCTGTGCAAAACTTTAAAGAATTTCCCAATTTATGTATATTCAGGTTTGAGCTTTACTAAACACGGTCGAGTTATGA